TTCATGGAACATGATCTTTACTTAATATCCTAATGATTTTTGGCATAAAAGAAAAACTATAATTGTGACCCATACAATGTATTGTTGGCTATTGCTACAAATATCCCCCAGCGACTTAACACTGCTTTTGTGCTGCAGGAACACATATGAAGAAGTTTCTGTGTGAAAACGGTCCAAACAGTCGATAAAAACATCATAATGCCACATTATACTTGTGAAGCAAAAAGCTGCATGTTTGTTAGAAACATCCATCAAGGCGTTTAACTTGAAACCGTCGCTTTCAGCTAAAATAGTCTTCTATCCATAATATTGCTTTCTGCAGTGAAAAAGTCGTCTCATCTGAATCAGGAGAGAAATCTGCACAGATCAAGCACCATTTACAGGCCAAAACAGTCCAAAACATTTTAAAACCAATGTGGATGGATTTAGATGTGAGAGACAACAGGTGATGGACTTTTTCACTGGAGGAGCGTTATTATGGATTATGGACTCATATTTTGGCCAGAAACTACGGTTTAAAGTTAAAACGCCCCCAAGATGGATTTTATTTATTTATTTTCACTTCACAAGACATTAACTAATGGACTGGTGTGGATTATTGTGATGTTTTTATCAGCTGTTTGGACTCTCATTCTGACGGCACCCATTCACTGCAGAGGATCCATTGCTGAGCAAGTGATATAATGCTACATTTCTCCAAATGTAATCCGATTAACTATTTTTTTGGGTGAACTATTTCTTTCAGTCATGGCTGTAGTCGCTTTATCTCTGAGATCTCCGACGCTGACAGACTGTTCTATTCTGATCAGTCAGATTAAGCTTGGATTGGGGTTTTACGCTCCACAAACAGCCCGCCGGACACAAATAGCAGGCTATGTTTTCAAATACTCAGCCAACTCACCCCTCACATCGTGTGAGGATGAACGTAAGGAACATACTGTTGTTAATAGAACAACAGAACAAAAGGAATAGTTCACTCAAAAATTAAAATCTTAATATGTACTCACCCTCAGGCCATCCAAGATTAGGATGAGTTTGTTTCTTCATCAGATTTAGAGATATTCAGCATTATATCACTTGCTCTCACCAGTGGATGCTCTGCAGTGAATGGGTGCCGTCAGAATGAGAGTCCAAACAGCTGATAAAAACATCACAATAATCCACAGCCCTCCAGTCCATCAGTTAATGCCTTATGAATTGAAAAACTGCATGTTTGTAAGAAACAAATTAATCATTAATCAGATCAAGCACTGTTTGTTGGTGAAGCTCTGTTTGACATAACGCTGTGTCAAGACATAATGACTGAAATATGTTCTGATTGTATAATATTTTTCTATGCTTGCTATTAATATAAATATTTTAATTACATAATCTATTGTTTAAGTAAAAAAAAAAAAGCATGGAATAATTGAATGTGAATGGAACATACATTTACACAGTTATTTATTTAGCAGATACTTTTATACAATGTGACTTCAAATGAGGTTAAACAGTAAAATGTCTAAAGATAGAGATTTAAATAAAGAAAACAATCCTCGAGAATGAAAACATCTCTAACAGTGGACACATCAAATGAAAACCAAGAATCTTTTTTGATTTTCTAACAAAAACTATTTTTATTCGTGAAATATTAACCCACAATCCCACCCATCATGCCAGCGCAAACTGCATCCAAAATCCCAGCGCTTCTGCGGTAAAGCCTGTAGTCCCCGAAAAAATGTTCTGTTCACCTTGGAATGTTGTCCTGTACATGTCATTTCCACAACCTGACAAACACAAATACAACAGATATAATAAATGTATTTCATGTCCAGTCTGGAAAACTCAGGGACTGTAAATACTGTAATTTCAAGGTTAATATATAAACCGATCAAGCTACAGGCCAGCGATGTTATAGTTAACTGAAACCATAAAAAACTTGAAATATGTTACTTGGTATACTTGGAATAAAATAAACTTTAACTGAAACAAAATAATACAAAAAACCTTGAACGTATTTTATTCCAAAGCAACATTTCTCATTTTCACTTTGGATTTTAAACTAATGTACTAAACTAAAACTGAAATACAAATGAATAAAATTGACATTTCAATGAAAAAAATACATAAATAAAATAATGACAAAACACAACAAAACTAGTGAAACTAAAATGAAAAAAAAAAATTCAAATTATTAATAAAAACTAATGTATGGAAGCTTGTTTCCACCACAAAAAATAAATAAATATATATAAAAGGTAATTGCAACTTTTTTTCTTCTTGTAGTTTTGAGTTTTTGTCTTATATTGAAATAACTAAACACCATTAAAAAAACTTGTTACTTGGAGGAAAAAA